GTGAAACAGATAGGCTCTTACAGTTACTCTGATGCCAATCTGCATAAACTATATAGGAGTCCATACACAAGCAGTGGACTTCAGATGTAAATGGAAAGGAATAACCATGGAGGCTTCCTTCAAGGGAGAGTAAAGTGCCAAGAGCTGCAGGAAGAACACCGTGCAAAGTGCGTGTCTTATCTATGTAATAACTACTCTAATTTTCACTTGGGTTACACAGAGTAAGCACCTCTACAACGCACTCCACTGGGGGTACAGAACTGTCAAATAGCTGGGTAATACCTCCCCTTTGCTAACCAAGGGTCAGATCAACTCAGTCACTTGCATAGTTATCAAATTTAAAGTTTCATTTAATGATTAAACATTTCTCTATATTCTACTAGGTGCTAGTTGGAAATGACAACAAATTTCAGTAAATTTTACCTGCAATGTTTTGAGGGTCTCCCACAAAAGGATCTGTAGTTTTCGATAATGTAGGATCACAACTTTCAGCATCGCAATGTAAAAGGTTATTACAGGCTTTCTAATTACTTTATGTGTTTGTACAAGAAATGGCAAATGCTCTTTCTTTCAGACTAAGAACTCTGATAAGTGGAAGACTGGTGGTGGAAAAGTCATAGTTTCATAGTACAGAGCTGTAGAAAGGTGTTACTCCTAATACTAAAAATGAACTAAAAGAGAATAGCAATATGTTATAAAAAATGAAAAGTTTTAATTTTCTATTAAAAATCTGAACTCACAGGAGTGTTATTTCCTTAGGATTTATGATTTTAAGACCTTGAAAGATTTCATTCTTTCTGTCACTGCTCTTGCACCATTTTGTATTGCAGTGATAAACAATTTATCATTCACTAGTAAGGCCCCTATAGCAAAGGGAGATCCTGATTTTCCATTTTCTCTCCCATTTATATTGATTATAGGATCAGAATCTCAAATCTCAGTCCTCCATGCCTTAGGCTGCTTATAGACTTGGAGCTGAACTAATTACAAATTCCTCAACAGAAGCTGTTTTATTTTCTTCACATTCAGCTTTTATTGGAGAGGGGCTTATCAGTTCGCACATACAAAGTTAAGCCAGTTCCAGAAACACAGATATTTCACAACTCAGAAGATTCCAGCCTGAGTATATCTTAAAAAGCTCATTCAAGGAAACACTTCAGCAATTTTATGTTAGAAGAGCTTTGGGATTAAAAACTGCTTACCATTTGATACTGAATTTCCATTTTCAGCAGTCACCGAACTGGACAGTGGATTAGATGGCTGAGTTCCATGGTTATTTGCATTTTTATCCTGCGTTTCTGATCCAGTATCTGATGTATTTGGATCTTCCCTGCTTCTCAAGTTCAGATTAGTTTCAGCACCTGATGTAAACAGAGAAAATGCTTGTCAGCTTACAGCATTCATCCACACTATTAACTAGTGGCTTTCACATGTAAGTAGAAAAAAGTCAAATTAATTTAATTAAACACTAAATTCACAAGATGAGTGATGAATGTGGAGGGTTTAAGTCAGTGATTTTTGCAGGATGGTTTTTTTGTTCTGTTTCATTTTGTTATGTTTTTTGCTAGTGTTCCATTTGTAGCCTTTTAAAGCTTATAGAAGTGAATATCATTACAAAATTTCATTTATATTCTTCCTTTCCACATAAATGTTAGTGAATAAAACTCAGCAAGTGTTTGTATTGTCTCTATTTTAGATTCTATTATATTATATTCACAGGAGTTTACATACGACTGTCATCACTGCAATGCCTTTCATCATTGCATTAGGTGATATGAGCAACAGATACAATATGGGGTTATTTTTTCTTTCATCTCCTCCTACATGAAATAAAATGGCTTTTGAGATGAAACCATACGTAGTAATATTCCTCCCAGCCCAGCCTCCCCATGGCCATTATTTACCCAGCCTCAGGGCTTCCCAGCCATCAGTTGTCATTTTCTATAAAGTTACAGGTTTTCATGTCAGAGCCTTTTAGTTAAATTTCTTCAGGACATCAGAGGAGATCTGATCCTGTAGGAATTCCTAAGCTTTGTACAATGCACACGCATTTGTTCAAAGAAAAGGGCAAAACAAAACCCTTATCTTCTTCCCTCTCTGATTGCACATCCACACAAAGCAGAACAGCTCACAGCAAAGTGCCTGGAGCTGGCTCTGAGCTTGCCTGGCTTTGTCAGCCCAGTGCACCACAAGAAACAGGGCTCCGCCACAGGCTATGCCCAAGTGGTGCTTGGTGTGAACTACCCACTTGAGTTTAGAGGCCTAAAGCACATTCAGAGCTGGAAGGCAAGACTGTGAAGGGATGGAGATAGTAAGAGGGATCCCCACTGCATCTCTGGCTACTTTTTCTGTATTGAACATATATGCATATTCTTTCCTTGTGATAGTCAGGTTTGATTCAGAGAAGACAAAGCTGAATTCAGTGCTCTGTTCCAGTTTTCCAAACTCTTTCCACTCCCTCTGAGAGCTGGCCTTAGGTTTGGGGCTGACATAATATGGCTGACCCGAGCGCAGAGGTCCTCCTATAACACTCTAAAATGGAAGTTTCTCTTCTATGACAGCTCTCAAAGAGTTATTTCTTGATTTTAGTTGTGTCTATTTAAGCTTTGTCATAATGATGGCAGGAACCAGTGGAGGTCAAAAGACTAGCTATTAAAACCAACATTACTGTGTTCATCCATATTTCCCATAACATTCTCAGCTCTCCCAAAGATATGATATATTCTTATAAATCTTGAGCACATAAACATTCTTTAAGGGGAAGGAAAAACATTTTTTCAACAGGTAATGGATACTTTACCTGCAGATTTTTCCAAGCTAAAGCTGACTGTGTGGTCAATTTTTCATTTTTATGCCTGAACTGAAAAAAAAATCCACCTCATTTAAAAAGTATCAATATTAAAAAAATTAATTAATGAAATGAAAACTATAAATTCATTCTGGTTAACTCAAAATGGTTCACTTCATTCAAAAGGGCTTTCTTATTTTGGTTAAGGTTTCTAACTCAGTTATCTAACTCTAATCCTTCTTAAGATTTCCTTATCTAACAAAAAAACTGTCTTAAAAAGTCAAAAAGTTAATTTTCAAGCTGTCAGAATAAAACATTTTTTTTTTTTTTGCTCCCTTCCTTGCCCTCATTCCTGTTCATTATTTTTTGCCAGATCTGATTGGATTGTTTCAGTGGCAATGTTTCATAAAATGCATCTTTAGGCAAGTGTGCTATGCACTGAAAAAATTAGGCCAGCTCTACCCACAGTAATTGACTTGGGAGAGGCGGTAGAACCAGAGTCTGTGCTGTAAAATGCATACAGTACAATTATAAGAGCATGCCTGATTTAGCTTTTTTACAAGCAAGTTGACTGCAAAATGCATCTTTGCAGCTCATTTTAAATTTGTCTGAAAAGGAAATGTCACTTTTAGATGTTAATAGTCAGTGCACTTGCCTATAGATCATAATCCACCTACATAATTATTATGCCACCTTTTACTAAAGAGTCTTGGGGGAAGTGGCTGGGATCCTTATTTTTCTTGATATCCAAAAGATTTATTGATTTGCCTGACATCTGCAATTCATTTGCGAATGAACAAGTAGAAAGACTTTTTCCTGCATTTCTGTTTGCAGAAGCCTTTTGTTTCATAGGTACATTGATACCTTTTTATGGCATTCATGAAGGGCTCTTGGGAAAAAAAAAAAAAGAAGTTATCTTTTCTCCTCTGTATCTGTGGGATGAAATACCAAAAAATATCGTGGATAGATACTATTGAGCTAAAATGTCATTCTAAATTGGCAGAAATAAGTAGTGGACATATATGCAGCATATCTTTTTGGGCAGCTACCTAGACAGAAATCTCTTATCCCATTTACTCTATTCAGTCATTGTAAGAAATGTATATCTTTCGTTTCTATACAGAAAACTATATAGAGAAAACATATTTCATAGTGCCTTATTTAACTGGTCTCAGGGGTTAAAAAGAAGCCTATATTTTATTTCAAAATAATCTGTATTAAATAAAGGTACTTGAATTAATTTCCTATATATAGGCATCTTCAGCTCCTTTTTGGAGCAGATTCATGTGAGTCTACAGAAAAAGTGTAACTGCATATGTTGGCAAACTTCTAACAGACTCCTGGAGAAGCCCGAGTGTATCAATAGCAAAAAAGTAGTGTTCATTTATTTCGGGCTTTGTGTAAAATGGGTGAGTTTCTGAAGAGAATCTTTTCTATAAATAGGATAATAAGAGTGCACTTCTGCTCCAAGCAAGGCCAGCTGTGAGGTCAGACCACTGCTCAGGGTTTTGCCCAGCCAGGTCTTGTAATCCCCAGTATGGAGCCTGCCCAACCTCCTTGTGCAGCCTCTCAGTCTGCCTTTCGCTGCCCTGCCTGTCCTCATGGGAAATGTTTCAGTACCCACAGTGAACCCCTCTCGTTGCAGTTCCTGCTGTACCTTGTTGCCCTGCCATGCAGGGCTGTGAAGGGCCCAGCTGCCTCCTTTCCATCCCCTCCCCACTCTCTGCTTACAGAACCACATTTCAACCCTGAGTATTTACTGTGTCCAGTTCTGGGCTCCTCAGAAAGAAAAGGAGCTACTGGGGAGGGTTCAGCAGTGGCCACAGCCCTGCATACTGTCTCTGCTGCTAAGTCTCACTGACTTTTCCCAGGGCTGCTCCTCAGACAGCCTGATCCCAGACTCTGCTGAAAAGATATCTCTGACTCAGTCAAGCTCTACTCTGACTAATCCTGCAGTTAATGAGTATAGGCTACAAGGATGTATGGATATTTGGATTGAGGGCATCATTTGCCCCTCAGTTATGCTGTAGCATAGTTACTAGCTGGAAGCAATCAATTGTATAGTGCTTTTAATCAGAGTATGACAAATCAAAGTATAACAGTTATTTCCTTACAAGCAAGCTCCATATTCCAACAAATACATAATTAATTACATCAACATTACTTGAAAAGTGTAACAGAAACAGAATGCAAAAGAGGCAGCTCATGAAATCCACATTTGTTTGTTATCCTAATGTTCTTGCAAGAGACTGAGTTTAAAACTCATGACAAGGTCATAAGGCACAAGATGGACATAATTTCACTTATTTTATGAAAAAAGAATTCAGAATATGACAATTATGGAAATTAATGTATTTGCTTCCCCCCCTCCTTTCTGAGTCATTATCTCACTTTTAAAAGAAACCAATACACTGAAAGTCTGCGACAGAACTTTTTGTCAAAAGAATAACTTAAACTCTTTTAATTGAGCTATGACTTTCAAATATCCTGTTATAAAGCCCTTTTTTCCCTCAAACATAAAATGTATGATCCCAAACATCATAGTTTTTCATAAGCAGTATTTAGGCCGAATTACTGCTTTATGACCAAGTTAGAAAATGAGCCAGTACTGGCTCTATTCAGATGAGTTAATGAGGTTAAATTGCAATACTGAAATATTTTGAGAAACTATTAGTTTTCCATAGAAATTATACATTTAGCTTATTTAACAAAGTCTAAAGCAAGTTTAAATCAGTGATTGCAATCAGCATTTAGGTGGAATCATCATAGACTGTGCAGCTAGACATGAAAAACTAGTATGCTTTAAAAGCCCAGCAGTAACTCACCTGGTTGGGTTGTATTTTTCTTTTCTGTCAAAGCCTTTGCTTTGCTCTCCTTTCTTTAAATGGATGTATATTAATAATGTATTTGTCCCCATATGTTTTTTTCCAAACACTTCTCCTTATAACATTTAGTGTTCATTTACAGTATGACTGAAAACTCATCATTAACAACAGGAGGCTTCCACTGCTTTCAGCAGGTTTTGGATCACATTTATGCTTACCTTGTGTGCTTTCTGCAGCACGGCCAAAGCACTCATAATAGTGTAAAGGGGCTCATAATAGTGTAAATATAGAGGGACTCTTAATTTGTTTATCCTGGTTATTCAAATGTGATCATAACTGTTCTCTCTGGTCCTGAGGCAAATGGTAAGAGACCCATATCTGTGCTACTACACTTTCTCGCCCTCCACAGAAGAGAGGTTGCATCCAAGTCATCTACTGTGAATAGTCCCTGGCCTGTGTTGTTTCCTGAACCATGTCCAGATTTTCTTGGAAAGGAGCCAACCTGCCAGGTCCCAAGCAATGCCAGGGACTGTTCTAGCACTTTGAATGTGCAAAGGATTGAGCTGCCATACCAAGGACATTCCGCGGCACTGGTTCATTTAATGAAACAGATATAGCCCTTCACCTTGACAGCTAGTTACCGGTGGTCAATATTAATCCATCTCAGGAAAAAAAAAGGAAAACTGTGGAAGAAAAACCACCTCAAATCAGATGGGACTAGTGGAGCACTGAACTGTTGTACAGTTTC